GAACACGAGCCGAGCTCGTTCGTCAATGGGCCGGCTCGGCCCATTGCCACCACTACTAGAAATATACTTTTAAAGTTTTATTTTCAAAAAATAGGTGGATTAATTTTTATTTCACAAATCAGGTGGTAATTAAGTTTTAATAATTATAATTAATAAAAATTTATTTACAGTATATAATTAATGGGTTTTGCTAATTCATAACCCAACTAACCTCTCTCTCTCTCTCTCTTTCGAACCATCCTAGTTCCTAGATAGTAGATTCCCAACCCGTCGCCTCTCTCTCTCTACATTTCTACTAGCCCGTCGCCGTCTTGAGAATCGCCGATGAATCACATGCCACCTATCCATTGCACAGATCTATCATTTCGTTCGTCGTCGTCTCCCACCCCCATCACCCCAGCTGTCGGCGTTGGTACCTTTCGGAGATGGCAGCGCTGTGAAGGTGGCGGTGGTTGGTGCCATCACCGGAGACCACAGACACTGCTATATCTAAATGCTTTAGATTAACTGCAACAAGACATTGGTGCCTCAGTTTGGCTTAACTAATTTGGGCCTCCGATCGACTCACTGACCTAAGTGATTGTACTATAATGCACTGCTGGGTGCCCAAGCTCTCAAAATCGACCCGACAAGATCTGGTGCTCATATACGAGTTCGAGTCCAACGCTCTGTGGCAATGGTACGAAACGGTCCGAGTCTTGGTACCTCACTTCAACGTCTACGTGCCGGACCTGGTAGGGGGTGGTGCATTGTTGGGTGTGTTTGGGAGGGAGTTTTTGGTGGGGACAGTGCTTCGCAGAAGAATCGAAGGTCGAACAAATTCTCGACAATGGAAAGAGACTTCTTCGATACCGCTCCTTGCTCTTCTATCGCAGTTGATTCTGTCATACGCATGGGCACTGTCAGCGTGATTTGGGGTTCCTGCGTCGGTCCATTTGATGCTAACAAACTGGGTTTCACTGGTATCGCTCGTGTATCTTTCGTAGCTAAGTCGGTTGGTCAATATGGGCTTAAGTGGGGATATTTTGCCGCAATTTTTTCTTTCACTCACTGTGGGATTCAAAGATATCGCGGAAAAAAAGATTGGGTTAATGTAGGGGCAGCTTTTGCTACTGGAACCCAAAACTGGAAACAGGTTGCTGGTGTTGTTTGTACTTTGTATCACTTTGCTGATAGCTCCAGATCCGTCTAATGCACCGCATGATTGAACAAAGAAGCAGATAGGAAGCCTATGTCGTGTGGAATCCAAAATATCAAGTCTTGTTTTTTTGGATGATCACGAAGTGACCCAATTGCCTGCATTTGATTATCAATATCAGGAGATTGAATTATACATTATATCAGCTGAATTGTCTATTTATGGACATGGACCGAGTCTTATCATGAAGGATGATTTCATGTAGTTTCAGATTGTGAAGTTTTTTTTTGAACTCATTTGAGGATTTCAGACCAAATATGTGTTGGTTGTGACCGATTGTGACCTATTTGTAACTGATTGACTCGTTGTGATCGATTGTGACTTGAAATTTTGAAAATTCTTTGGAAATTGGGAGTGGATGGATGTGGTGGGTAGGTTGATCGGAGTATGCGTTGGAGTGGTTATTGGAGCAGTCAGAACTGTTATCGTAGCGCCCGCCGGAGTGATCGCCGGAACAGTTGTCTAAGTAGATGACTGGAGTAGAAGGGGTAGGGAGAGGAGAGAGAGAGAGAGAGAGAGAGAGAGAGAATGATTTGGATTTGAAATTTCATAAATTGGGATAATTGTATTATATTATAATTAAAAATATTTAATAAATTGATTTAATACCTGATTTTTGAAATTTGTTATTTATGAAATGTGATCTTTAAAACAATGAATTATGTATTGTTCCCCCGTAATATTTGGAATAGGGATGGCGAAAGGGAACAATACATAATTCATTGTTTTAAAGATCACATTTCATAAATAACAAATTTCAAAAATCAGGTATTAAATCAATTTATTAAATATTTTTAATTATAATATAATACAATTATCCCAATTTATGAAATTTCAAATCCAAATCATTCTCTCTCTCTCTACTCTCTATCCTCTCCCTACCCCTTCTACTTCGGTCATCTACTCTGGCGACTGTTCCGACCATTCCAACGACCGATGACCTCTTCGGCGATCACTCCGACTGTTCCTGCGGGCGCACCGATGACAGTTCTGACTGCTCCAATAACCACTCCAACACATGCTCCGATCAACCTACCCACCACATCCATCCACTCCCAATTTTCAAAAAAAATTCAGAATTTAAAGTTACAATTGGTCACAACGAGTCACAATTAACCAGTCACAATCGGTCATAAACAGTCACAAACCGTCACAATCGGTCACAATCAACACATATTTGGTCTGAAATCCTTAAATGAGTTCAGAAAAAAACTTTACAATCTGAAAGTACATGAAATCATCCTTCGTGATAAGACTCGGTCCATGTCCATGAATGGACAATTCAGCTGATATAATGTATAATTCAATCTCCTGATATTGATAATCAAATGCATGTAATTGGGTCACTTCGTGATCATCCAGAAAAACAAGACTTGATATTTTGGATTCTACACGACATAGGCTTCCTATCTGCTTCTTTGTTCAATCTTGCGGTGCATTAGACGGATCTGGAGTTATCAGCAAAATGATACAAAGTACAAACAACACTAGCAACCTGTTTCCAGTTTCGGGTTCCAGCAGCAAAAGCTGCCCCTGCATTAACCCAATCTTTTTTTCCGCGATATCTTTGAATCCCACAATGAGTGAAAGAAAAAACTGCGGCAAAATATCCCCACTTAAGCCCATATTGACCAACCGACTTAGCTACGAAAGATGCACGAGCGATACTAATGAGACCCAGTTTGTTAGCATCAAATGGATCGACAAAGGAACCCCAAATCACGCCGTCAGTGCCCATGCGTAAGACAGAATCAACTGCGATAGAAGAGCAATGAGCGTCATTGAAGAAGTCTCTTTCCATTGTCGAGAATTTGTTCGACCTTCGATTCTTTTGCGAAGCACTGTCCCCACCAAAAACCCCCCACCAGACACACCCAACAATGCACCATCCCCTACCAAGTCCGGCATATAGACGTTGAAGTGCGGTACCAAGACCGGGACCGTGTCATACCATTGCCACAGAACGTTGGACCCGAACTCGTGTATGAGCACCAGATCCTGTCGGGTCGATTTTGGGAGCTTGGGCACCCAACAGTGCATTACAGTACCATCACTTAGGTCAGTGAGTCGATCGGAGGCCCAAATTGGTTAAGCCAGATCTGATGCACCAGTTTCTTGATGCAGTTAATCTGAAGCATTTAGACATAGTAGCGTCTGTGGTCTCCGGTGACGGCACCAACCACCGCCACCTTCACAGCGCGGCCATCTCCGAACGGTACCAACGTCGACGGCTGGGGTGATGGGGTGGGAGACGACGGCTAACGAAACGACATATCTGTGCAATGGATAGGTGACGTGTGATTCGCCGGCGATTCTCAAGACGACGACGAGCTGGTAGAAATGTAGAGATAGAGAGAGGCGACGGGTTGGGAATCTACTATCTAAGAACTAGGATGGTTCTGGAGAGAGAGAGAGAGAGGTGAGTTGGGTTATGAATTAGCAAAACCCATTAATTATATATTGTAATTAAATTTTTATTAATTGTAATTATTAAAACTT